CCCCCTCCCTCATGAACCCTTCATAATTCATAAATTACTATAGTTTTGTCATAAGTTACACTGTCTGATGTCTCCCTCCGCCCTCTATTCTGCTGTCCTTCGACAGCTCGTGGTCACACATGCTGGTGTTCTTCCATGTGGGCTTTGTTGCTTCTGAGCTAGATGGCCGCTTGCTTATCTTCAAGCCTTTAAGACCCTAGATGGTATATCTTTTGATAGCCAGGCACCATCAGCTTTCTTCACCACCTTTGCTTATGCACACCTTTGTCTTCAGTGATCGTATCAGGAAGGTGAGCACCCACTGATCTCATTTCAGTTCTTGGGTGTCTGATAACTGGTCCCTTCTGCACCTCGTGGTCAGACAGGCTGGTGTGCTTCTTCCATGTGGGCTTTGGTGCTTCTCAGCTGGATGGCCGCTTGTTTATCTTCAAGCCCTTAAGACCCCAGATGCTATATCTTTTGATAGCCGAGTACCATTAGCTCTCTTCGCCACATTTGCTTATGCACACGTTAGACTATTTAATTGATTTTCCTTTGATATCTTAAACCAGTGTTTTTGACTAAGATATTTTTTGAAACATGTTTTTTATTTATTTACAAGAATATAGCAAGCGTTTAAAATATAATGTAAAAGTGTTTTCTCAAAATTCTATAGGGGTTTGCCCTGAAAATTTTTATCTCAACAAGAACAAAAATGTATAATAAGAGTATAATAAAATAAAGTATTTTAATTTGATATTTAATTTTTTTTATTTCAAATGTTCTATCCATAAAATATTTTACTGCTGCCTTACCTGTTTTGGGGGAGGTTTTTTTCCCTTTCCTTTTAACCAATCTTTGGGAAAAGAATATGATTGGAATGTAATTGTTAGAGAAATACTAACTTTAATCTTGGTGATATATTTTCAAAAGAGCCTATTGAGTTTTAAGGTCTTACACCCAATTATTTTCCCTTCATTAATGTGTATATTGAGTTAAAATTAATACCTGTACTATTTTGTGCCTACTTTTAAAATTGACATTATTTCTTAAGTAATTTTTATCAAAATTGTATACATGTCATTTTAAATCTATACATATGAAGGGGCAACCCTCGAAAAGATGGGATTTTTTCCCCCCAAAAGCTATGTATTAAATTTTTTTTCACAAAACAACCTTATCACCTTCAAAGTACTCTCCATCACACGTTAATACATTTGTCAAATCTGTGATTTCATTCTTGGAAACATTTTTCTTTTTTTTTTTTTAAACATTTTATTAGGGGCTCATACAACT